TATCATGAGATTTGTCAAGATCTCATGATATCATACGTGGAGGCCATGGTAAAAAAATTGAGAAGGTTTTGCACAATCTGTCACGTACGATGTTTACAAACCGAAGTATCTCGTAAGAAGAATCGTAGCATTGAGAATGATTCGGTAGGATTTGGTGTCAAAGTGACGGTCGAATTGGGGTTTGACTATAAAACTTTTTGTACAGGCAATAGAGAATATAGATTGATTCATGTTAAATTTTGGTTATTTTTTAGGTCCATTTGATATTTTTAATTTATTAAGTGCAATTATAGGATTTTAATTGATATAGATTGAATTTGAGCTATAACTATATGAAATAATAAGTTTTTTTCTTCTGACCTTGAAACTTTTTCTACTCTCCACATACAACATGTAGTACTCCATGTTAAGATTTGGTATATTTCTAGATCTATTTGCTATATTTAATTAATTTATTGAATTTCAAGGAATTTTTTGGTATAAGTTAAATTTGAACCGCAAATGATTCAAATAATAGAATAAAATGAGTAGAAAAATAATATTCATGTTATTGAGTTCGGTGTGAGGCCTTACCCGAGAAATTAAAAGAAATTTCAAACCTTTTGTTTAGGAAACACGACCACGAATGTGTTGCCGAATGATTTTTAAATTCTAAAAAAAGCAAACAAAGCCCGAAAAACATGAGATTTGTTAAGATCTCATGATATCATATGTGGAGGCTGTGGTAAAAATTAAGAAGGTTTCACACAATCTGTCACGTACGATGTTTATAAACCAAAGTATCTCAGAAGAAGAATCACAACGTTGAGAAGGATTCGATAGGATTTGAAGTCAACGTGACGGTCGAATTGGGGTTTGACTTCAAAATTTTTTGTATAGGCAATAGAGAACATAGATTGATTCATGTGAAATTTTGGTAAATTTTTGGATCCGTTTGATAATTTTAATTTATTAAGTGCAATTATATGATTTTAATTGATATAGATTGAATTTGAGCTATAACTGCATAAAATAATCAAATAATATTCCTAAAAAAATCAAATATATATTGTTCAGTGAATTTGAAAAGGTATTTTCAAAGTACATTGGAACAAATTGAGGAAAACACGTTATGAAAAAGGAGGAAAATGAAAAAAAACATTTGTCGAGTGCCTATGATCTAACACTCGACAAAACTAGGGTTTGCCGAGTGTCAGACCTGGAACACTCAGCAAACCGCTTCATGGCCCCACACACGCGTAGTAGTATATGGTTTGAAAATGAAAAAAACCAAAATGGGTTTGCCGAGTGCCCGCAATCTAGCACTCAGCAAACCTTGGCTTTGCCGAGTGCTAGATCGTGGGTACTCGGCAAACCTCCATCGTACACAGCCCTGGATGCACACACATGCACACACTCACACACGCACAACCACGCCCGCACACACACGTAGCCAGCCGCCGGCCCTGGCTCTGTGCCCACGCCAACTGCTAGCTTCCCGCGCCCGGCGCCCGGCCTCCCGCGCCTGGCCACCGCACGCAGCCGCTGGCCCCACGCCTATGCCATCCCTGCTCTAGTGGTTGCCACCGGCCGCCCCACTCGGTTGCGCCATTGCCGGCTCACGACGTCTTGCATGTGGCCACGCCCCTCTAGCGCTCATCCAAGCGCCTAAAGCCGAAAGAGGAGCAAAGAGAGCCACCCGTCTTGCAGCCACCCTCGCCGCCCCATGCGCCGCCGCCCGCGGCCACCTTCTGTTTTGCCGGCCCTGCCTTGCCTGCGTCGACCCTCGCTTGACCAGCCCCTAGCCCCACCGCCTGTGCCTCGATCAGGTAAGCACCCTAGGATTCTAGAATGACTAATCATTGCAACATTATTTTGTAAGCACCCTATTTAGCAACATTACCTTATCTGGTGACACTAACATAGCAATGTGTCAATGTTAGCAACATTACCTTACCTATTTAGCTGCATTACCTTATCTTAAGGCACTACTTTCGCACTTTGCAGCTAATTGAATGCATTGGAATTTGATATCGTTGTGTGAGCATCATTTATTTAGCACAACTCCATCTGTTTTCACATGAAATAGTTATATGTTTTGGAGCATATGATTTGTCAAATGAGGATGAAGCTACATAGCAAATGCTAACATAATTTTGTCTACTGGGATTGGAAGTAGAATAAACTCTTGTGTACTTTCATATCTGAATCTGGATAGTACCTGCTATAGATGTTAGATTAGATTTTATTCATAGTTTGATCTGATGGTCTGATGAGTGTTATACTGCTGTGTATGTGGTTGTCGGCCATCGTGCCGTTGGTTTGTTGTAGGTTTTGGTTTACTCTTTTTAATTGCAGGTGATTGAACAATGGTGGGCGGTATGAAGAGGATAATGTCGCTTTACTCAAAAGTGACAGCGACGCGTAAAGGGTCCGATGCAGCTGAGGGGTCTAGGAAGAGACCTCGGGGTAGACTCAGGGGTTGAGGGAAGGGTGGAGGCAAGACAAGGCCACCGTCGCCTGTAGCTTCGTCATTGTCTGAGTTACCTTCCGCTCACTCTTCCTTTGAGGAGGAGTTACAGGTGGAGGAGGAGGCAGGGGTGGAGGAGGAGATAGGGGGTACCTCTTCCTCTACTTCATCACGGGTGTGGTTGTGAGGTCCCTCGACCCTCCCGAGGTGACCGATACCTCTTGAGAGACGCCCGCTGATTCGACCCAATGGAGACAAGTAAGTAACTTTAGATGTTATTACTAATTTTTTGTTTGATATGTTCAAAATTACAATAGAAACTAATAATTTATTTTAATCACTTGGGCAGGGGTTGGAGGAAGGTCGGTGGTGGTGATCATGCATGCCATGTGAACGGCATCTTTGGTCTTTTGATCAAAGAAAAGTTCCCTAGCCTGGTGCAGTCCGGTAGAACTATCGAGCCGGCCTACACGTGGGCCCACTATGCCACAATCCCCGACGCCCCTGATCGGGATGGCAGGGTATTCGCCGACAAGGCATAGCATGTCAAGGCCGAGCTTTGGGTTAGTCTTTCTCGCACTACATTGCTCAATACATTGCATTGATTGGACATTCTTGAAATAATGACTGGATAATGCGCGTCTATATGCAGGATTTCTTTAGATGCGAGGAGGGATACGAGGCCAAGGCGGATGCTGTGGCTGACAAAGCTGCCAAAAAACTCATCAAGGACATGCACTGCGAGGCGCGCATTCAGGCCGTGATCAAATACCACCCGGAAATTCTTAGAGTGAGGCTCCCTATGGCAAGAACATTGAGGCTGACCCCGGAACAATACCTAAAGGTAAATATAGAACATTAATACTTATTTTTTCTGAGATTAATTACGCTTAATTTCATGTTCTTATATGTCATATACTTGATGACATAGGTGCCTCCGTGGTGATGCGCCTATAATCTACAGTTCTAGGCCCGGATGGTGGACAGGTGGTGCGACTCCACGTGGGAGGGGAATCACAATGCTTACTGGGAGCGGCATTTGCTGATGCCAGGTGCACCACACCATCAAGGCAACCTCAACCTCTTAGAATACATGGCTAGATGGATACGCAAATTCATTTCTTTATTCTAACGCTCAACTCTACATAATTTCTAATCATATTGCTTTTTTTTGCAGTCGGCGGCACATGGTGGCGAGCCTTGCTCCTAGTTCATGGCATATGCTTTGGCCCACAAGGGCAAGGCGACAGCCGACGTCGCCTACAACCCGGAGGACCTGCCCTCGGCATATAGCAATGAGTCCATCCACAGCCGCCTCAATGGATAAACATCGATGACATGGCCCAAAGTACGTTCCGAGCGCCCATGACCTTGATGGAGAAGTGGTCATGAGGGCAGGAGGGGGCAAGAAGCATGGACGGTTCTGGATTGGCGATGGCACAATCGACACGGCTAGTACTCTCACTATCTCCTAGATAATAATGTTGCTCTGAAAATATTTCTAGAACTGAATTTTTTGGATCCGATTACTTATCATTACTAAACTATTTTAAAAAAAACTATCCTCATAGAAGGGCCTTTCAGCAATGCATGCTGCCCAGTGAATTCTGTGGAAGGGGACCTTCATATGTTTAGGAGCTCGAAACCCATTTGGCACAGTGTAGCAACTCATAAGTATACAGACAAGTGCATATATATTACACAGAAAACACGGACTCTTCTTACCATAGACACACATCTAATTAAATAGGATGTACATTTCATTCTCAAGAAATGAAAAGAGAGTTACAGTAGTTCACTACAAGAGTGATCTGAGCACTGCATCCCGCTATATATTTACAAGGTTTGCTCTTGAATACATTCATAGAGTTCCTGTTGCAAGGTTGTCATGTAACTTTCCATATCAAGCAGAAATGCAATAACATGGACACCATAAAGAGAAAAACAGATGGTAACTGCTAATGCATGGTAACTGCTAATGCATGGTCTGAATTTTTAGACGCAAGCAACATATACACAACTGTATTTTCAATTCTACTACGAACCACATAGAAATATTAACTTTTTACTAAATATACAAATGTTACTACTGCTAGTCATCATATAAATTCACAGGTCAGAACTAAGGAAGAAAAAACAAACAGATATCATAGTACTAAAACACTAGGAACTAGCCACAGAACTGGTTGCTTGTACTGGTACAAGCCATCCTAGTTAAGCAGCAAACAGAACAAAATATCCCAAGTACCAGCTCATAAGGTGCTAAAGTGCAGAAGTTCTCTAATGGAAACTTGATTCATCACAGCCACTCAAGAGTAGTACAAAACAAAAAAAGTCACAAGGCATAGTTAGGGAAGGGGAGAAATGCGCGGCACGAGACTGTCAAAATATCCCAAGTTACTTTCCCCACTCGCTTATCTGTTCGATGATTAAAGGACTGCATCAATCAATGAAGCCTAACAGCTGTGCATACTTAACAAGAAATGTACACTAAAAATAGTTTTCGAAGCCAGATTAGTATGGAACTTGAAATAAGCATACTCCTGAAACTCTAAAGCATATCTATAGTGTTGTGCAAAACACTAAAATGGTCCTAAAGACATGTGTAAACAATGAATTAAGATTCATGCAAATAAATAGTTAAACAACATGCTAGCCTCCCAAATCTTATCAAACCAAATATTTTTCATGTGCTATTGGAGAAATAAAGAATTCATGTTGACTGCACATTACATACCACTGGCACATTACATACCCCAAACTCCATGAGCAACAATTAAATGACTTGGCATAATAATGCAGAGAAATCCTGACCTCCAAAGCTGGATCAAACATATTCTTGAGCAATAGGCATTCACTAGGTGGAGCCAAATCAATAGACGGGATAGTAATTGGAAGAGTTGCCCCAGGAATTGAACCAAGACCAGGCACTGTATGGTGCAGAAGAGGAGCTGCAGCTGGAGCAGCACCAAGGACAGATACAGTTGGTATTACCACTGGAGTACTCAAACCAGCAGTGCCCATCCCACCAGTCAAACTGCAGAAACACAAAAGGTTGACGCGTCCATTGAGTAAGATACAAAGACACACAAAAGGGTAAATCTACTATAACAAAATTTAACTCAAGTTTCTTATGAAGCCAATCGTTGAAATTTGCATCAAACTGGTAAGGATATTGTAACAAGTTTCCCCTCATATGTCAAGTTCAAACATCATTAATTCGCCATCCTGAAATTTGCAGTCAGTGCAACTGGCACTAAATACTAGAACTGCAGTAAACACTAAACAGAATATTTCAGCCAAACCACTTTACACCAAAGAACTGGAGGAGGTCCATGGAGAATGACCTTGATAAGCAAGATATATATGGAAACAGCGTTGCTGTCGTGGTGGTTGAATCCTGACGATAATATAGTAGAGGTCAATAATGGGAGATGTGGGTACAAATGATGACACTGGTACAAGCAAGCAAGATAATGGAATTCTAAATGAAATGAAGTCTCTGCAGTGCCACAAAAAAATCAAATTATGGAGGAATAGTCCATTCAGCACCTCAGTAACCAAATGTGTAGCTCCGCCACCAATTAATTAACAAATAAATAAATATGCTCCAAATAATGGAATTATACTAAATATTTTTTAAGAGTTATACTTATCAAAATGTCAGGAAGATTATTATGCAATCAACTAAAAAAAAGGTACCTGGTTGTAATGCCACTGCGGTCCAATTTCTGCATTAGAAGAGCTCTGGAACTGGCATTCAGTGCCTGCAGGGACCACACAACAAACATAATGTTATAGATAATATGTACGAACACCTATTTTTGTATAAGACTAAGTAGGCTCGTTTTAAAGAGTCATGAAAAGACCAAAAGGACTTGGGCACACTTTTTATGTATGTAAAACCAAAAGAGAGTCTGCTTGGAATGTTAGCTTTACAAAGGAATGCAACTCCCAATTCTTAATAGAAGCAATGCTTAGCTATTCTGATAGTGTCAACATTGAATGACAAAATAGCATGGAAACAAAAACATACTAATAATATTAAATAAAAATTGAGACTAGTTGAAACCCACCAAGCCTCCACCATCATCATCATCCAAATCTCCTGTAGCTCCACTAACTTGCACGCCTGTTTGGTCTGTCACAACTGAAACCTGGCCAACAAGTGTTTACCATAATGTCAGACAACTGAGCTCAAATAGAAACACAAGATGAATGCTGGTAACTCCCAACAATATTTTTACCTTGATTACTCTTCCAGCAATCTCAAGTTGCCCATTCAAACTCTGAGCCGCTTTTGCATCTTCAAGACGTACAAACTAAATGATGAAATAGAAATGGTGAGAATTAAGCACCAACAGAAACAGGAATTTCTTCATGGAGAAATACTAACCTGCACAAAACCAAAACCTTTGCATAGCCCAGTGAGAGGATCCAATGGCAACTGGACAAGCTCCACTTGTCCAAATGGTTCAAAGACCTGGCAAGATCATTTTCAATAATATGAACAATCAAGAGAATTTGCTCCAAACACAGAAAAATTCTACATAATAATGTGTAGAGTATGGACCTGTGTATTGGGTGCAGAAGCATGACTACTGAACAACGGCCTAGCTTTGCACGTGAAAAAAAAATCCTAGAGAAGCTAGGTGGCTATTACAGAAGCATGACTGAAATACGGCCTAGCTTTGAAAGTTGTCATAAAACATAGTTTTGCAATTCAGTTAACCAAATCAACTTGGATTATAATTCCTGGCCGATAAAAACATGCTTTAAAATGTTGGTATTTGGTAAAAAAAATGTATTAGTCAAATACTGAAAATAGAATAGTACAGATTTTTCAACATGTATTGCTCTGGTAAAAAAATCAGTACTAGTTATATTAACAAAATTCAATCCACATCCTACAGCATACACATGGGATTAGATCAGATCTGTCCTGAATACACATAACCAAATAGCTTAAATTAGGGTTCGTTCTCAAATTTGCACAAAAGGCAAGAGAAGGAACATGCATACCTGGCTTGTATTGTGGGTGCTTGTCGTTGGCAAAGGGCTCACCTCGGCCACTGGAAGGAGGCTGCACTCGGAGCTGCAACTGCCCTGATGTGGTTGCGCTTGGAGCTGCAGATCTGGACGTCGGGCTGAGAAGGGGCTCTAGATCCACCATGCTCGGGAGGGCCCGCACGCCGTGAGGGCTGTGCTCGGGAGGGGCGGCGCACCGTGAGGGACACGCCCAGGAGGGCCCTGTCCGGGAGGGGCGGTGCGCTGGGGGGAGGCGCCCAGAGAGCCACGCCTGGGAGGGGCCGCGCGCTGAGAGGGCCACGCCTGGGAGAGGGACGGCGCGCCTGGAGGGCCGCACCCGCGCGTCGGCCGTGCGACAAGGGGGCTGCGTCCGGGCGTCGGGAGGGGAAGCAGCAGAGCTGGGGCGACGAGAAGAGAGCTGGCGGCGGATGGGTGGAGGGTTGCGGGGGTGAATGCGGAGGATACGAGGCTTCGGTCGTGGAGATTTAAGTTTAGGATTATTTTCCTGTGCGTATGTAATTTTAATCTGTGGGTAATATAGAAACCTACAGAATAATTGATATTTTTCTATGTGTGTAAATTGTTTTCTGTGCGTTTTAAAAATACTCACAGAATAATTTTATTTTTTCTGTGTGTACCCTCATGCACAGAAAAATGATATAATTACCCTGTGGGTTTTCGTATTTTTCTATCGGTATATTTTGGAACCGACAGAAAAATTATAATTTTTCTGTGTGTGCCGAAAAAAACGCACAGAAAAATTCATCACCCACATAAATATTCGAGTTTCCAGTAGTGATACCATGTCAGTTAAGTGCATCAGGTACTTCAAAGTTAGCATTGTTACTGTGCCATTAAATGCTTCTAGATTGCCCAAACATTTGTGTTTTGTAACTGATGATAGATTTCTCCATTTTATTTCTTTCCAAATTTAGTTTTTGTATTCTCCACTGAATCAGTTTCTTTCATACCGGAAAATCCTGATTCTTCATCTAGATTGAGTTACAGAAAACAAAAAAAGGATATACATATACCTCTTTAACTCTGAGATTCTATTTTTTATGTTTTTTTTGCTTTACTTTACCTCAGTAAGATGTTTTTGATTCCACTTCCTTCTGTGTATGAGTATAGACTACGCCTGCACTGACTGTTATGCCTAGTGCCCTGCCCTCTACCTAGGTGGGCTCAAGCACCCTGCTTGATTAGGACACCAATTCAGTCCATCTAAGTGAAAGTGAGCACCTGATTATTTGATATTGGTTACCATTGTTTGATCCATCATGCATAACATCCATTGTGTTCGAGCATCATTTAACTAAATTGTTTGGGCTCCATGCAGCTTCACTGCCATTTTTGGGATTACCTATAGTTTAGATATGTTTTCTTAATTGCTATTACTTGATTTATTGCTTGGTTCAGTCATGTGCTAACAAAGAAATATGAGTAAGGATACATGATGACAGTACAAAAAGGAAGATTCAACTTCCTTTCCTGTAGACAGGAAAGATAAATCCTTTCCCCTCAAATTTTTCTTTGATCTCTAGTATATGCGGTTCTCTATTTTGGCTGATCTTGTGCTTCAGTTGTTAGTGAACAACCATGGTTCCTGTGCTTTGGCGAACCCTTCTGGGATTGTAAGGTGTGAATCCGTCTTTTGCCTGGAACATAGAATTGCTATACGTAGCTATAGAGGTTGTTTCACAATTCTTTGTAAATTTGCCATCCAAGCCTGCTTATTGAGTTATCCCTGCAGTTTTTTGTAGTCTTTATTCTCCTTATTTTGTGTACTGCATTCTGTGTTCTCATTGGGGGATGTCTGTAGCATCAAGCAAAGGTTAATTATAGTACACATAACACAGATTTTTGGCGCACACATCTCATCACATTATCATGTCTCAAAATTTTCATGGAATTTGCATGCTTTTATTGCTTGCAACATGTATCTAAATGGTATAACAAAGTAGGCAGAGTTTTAACTAGAGTATAATTTTCCAAAATGTGCATACCTTAATGGCTCTATGTTGTTGGAGAGACTTCTGTTTATAATGACATTGCCAAATCTTTATTCCATGTGTTTATTGTGCTTCATTGTTTGTAGGAAATGTATGATTTCAGAGTCAAAAGGTGATTTGGCCTGCATAATGCAACGTGCCGGGTGGTGTTTAGCATTGCACATTGATATGTCAGACACTTAAACTAGGATTCTAAACGAATATAACTATTTTGATTCTAGCCTGCGTTATATATGTCTAGATTTTTATTCAACGCTGATATTTGCTTCTTTAGTTCCTACAGACCAATGTTACATGAACTTATAGGATGTGGTCAGAATCTATTTTTACTTTTTGTGCGAAAGCAAGAAATGCATAACATTTGTTCTCTATATCATATATCATATTCCCACCAAAATTGTAGATAAGAAATTCAAGCTGAAAGCCCATCTTTTCAAGCTAAATATGGCTAGCAGATCAAATTAAAGTAGCTAGCAGCTAGCGTGGCCATGCACTTGTTCACCGCGCGCATGTCGTCAAGAGCTAGCAGCGACGAGGCACTTACCCTTCTCTAGCCTGAGGATTGAGGAGCCTCCTGATCCCTTGATCCATGTGGGTGCTGCATCGTGCACCGTTGCATTGTTTTCCACAATGATAGACATCAGGAGTTGAGGGGCATTGTTTTCCACAATGACATTGGGAGTTGAGGGGGGTGACAACAGTTCTTGTAAGCCACTGGTTGAGATGACTTGTTTGCAGGCCTGAGCCCTTTTGCTAGATCCAAAGCCCATGAAATAAAGGTGTTTCCTACAGTAACATATTACAATGATACTAGAATTTTATAGCAACCAAACACACCTATGGCAATAGCAACATACTATTGCATCGCTTTAGGTCTTTAGTTGCAATAAACAGCTACCTATTGCAATGGTCGTGAGAAATATTACAACCAACAAAAACTGTGGCAATAGCAACAAATTATTATATCACCTTAGAAATTTAGTTGCAATAAACAACTACCTATTGTAATGGTCGTGAGAAATATTACAACCAACAAAAACTATGGCAATAGCAACAAACTATTACATTGGCTTAGAAATTTAGTTGCAATACACGGCCTACCTATTGCAATGGTCGTGAGAAATATTACAACCCAACAACACTATGGCAATAATTTCAAGCAATAGCAACAATGTTCTATTTGGTTGCAAGAGCACTAGACAGTTGCAACGCCAATCAATACTAATACAGCTAAATATCATCATGGCAATATTATTAACCAATAGCAACACTTTTCAAAAAAGGGTTGCTATAGGTCTCACTCCTGCAACGCCGAACGTAAAAATTGCAATGCACTATTTTTTTGGCAACACAGTCCCCCTATTGCCACCTTTTTGGACAAATATTGCAAAACACACCCCTATTACAACACAGTTTGTGGTGATGCAAATGGCGTCAAGTGGCAATAGGATCGAAATCTAGTAGTGTAAAGTAAATAATAATAAAATTAGTTGCGGCGTCTGCCATTCCGAGCAATCCTAGACCATAGGCTCCAAGCTAGCTAGGGGGAGGACCCCAACAGAGGTATCTTGTATCTTTATATTTATTCAATTATTTAGAAATTAAAAAATATATGATAAAAACAACAAAAATATTTATTCCACTCTACATATGTGTTTTAAGAATGTTTTGTTTCTCCTTTGCTGAAATGATGAATAGTTGCTCTATCTATAATTCATCTATGTCTAGGCTGTAACTTAGTATTCCCCAACATTTAAGTTTGTTGGCAAAAAATGTCTCATCCTAAACTTGAAAACTTGTGGGTTGCAAAAGCATGATCCTTTTCTAAGTTGTTGAGACGATGGAAGCGGGGGAGGAGCTCTCGGCGATGTAGGTCAGGCTTCCAAAGTTGAGGACCTAGCCAGAGCCAAGGCGCCAGCCGTGACGGAGAACTCGCCAGGGAAGCGGACGCCACCATCTGGGGCAGCTCCACTTGCTCCGACCACGAGGTGGGTGGCTCCGGCCACAGTAGAGCAAGAATCACACTTGACGCGCTCCACTACCTGACGCGGGGTCGAAACAACAGCAAGCATTGTTGTTCATCGGGTATCACTGAATGTGTATCTCTGGTGGCTCAGGTGGACTCAAGAACACAAAAATCATAGAGAGGAAACAACGGTTTATCCTGGTTCAGGATATCGGGGCCCTACGCCCAGCAACAGATGATCCTTATACTCAAGAGCACCCAAAATTGGGGGTTATAACAGAGTGTAAGAGAGATTTTGCAGGGGATTGCTCAGTGCTGATCCCATAGACCTCATCACTGGTGAGCTCTTCACCCTCGTTAGAGAGGAGGAATACGATGGAAGCGGGGGAGGAGCTCTCGGTACTCCTGTCAGGGTGGCTCAACTCTCGGTGCAGAGCTCGAGCTATTCGGTCAGGATAGAATCTGTTTGGAATCGTCCTCCCCACTCTAGGATCCGACCTCCCCTTATACATCGAGGTGGGTCGGGGACATGGCAGTTTGTGGGAGTTTAGCCAATGGTCTACATGAGCCAGAGTTCAGGAGGGTCTTGCAGCGGCGTGGTGTGGACCTTGGCATTGCGTGGAGCCAAAGAAGCCAACATCATCCAACTGCTCGGTTTTGACATGCTGAGTGTCAAGCTCTGTCGGCTTGGACCAGCTATTGACGGTAGTTAACAACCATTATAAACCGTCAATATAACATGCATAAGGGCATAAATATAATCACTAACGAAGGTCTAGGGGTTTAAACTAACAAATTCCACGAGTTTTGGTGAATTTGTATTTTCTACAGGGTTTATTCAGAAAAACCGTCAAGGTAGACCTACATGTCAGATTTAATCGCGCTTATCCGCAGCAAAATGGACACCAGAAGATTCTAGAACACTCGAGAGGACTCCACACCGAGGTAGAGAGGCAGAGGCTGCTGGCCCCACCTGCAGGTCGGCTGGCCCCTAGGGCCCACTATTAGCCTCCGCGTTTCAATATCTATTCTCCACCACCTCCTTGGTTGCATCTACGTCATCCTTTAAGTTGGTTTGATCCAAGGGCTCACGTTGGACGCTCCGGCCTATATATACCAGCCCCTGCCACCCCTAGGCAGAACCCTAGTCATCAAGTCATTTGAGAAGACAGAAACCCTAATCATCCTTAGAACTCCATCATATTCTAGGGCATTGCTTGTTAGGCTAGGTCTAGAGGGAGGCAAGCAGGCTTCGCTTGGATTCTCAATCGTGTCAAGAGCGTGGTTTGGTATAATCTTTGTACCCCCTCTCTTTTGTATCTCCATTACTTTTATATGCTAGCTACAATTGTTATGACAATATTAGTATTCATCTTATTCATGTTTGCAGTTGACGGAGATACTATAGGATACAGACGAGCCTCTGCCAGAAGGGGTCAAAGCCAATCCCCAACCCAGCCCGCCGAGGGTCGACGAGCCCGGCGAGGTGCCGCAAGATGACGATGAGTTTTGGTGGTCCTTAATAACCAATTTCACTCGCCAATTAAGACATAAAAAGAGGGGAAATTAGCAATCTTATGCACATATTTCATTACTATTAACCGAATTCCACATGTATTTGGAGATTACTATTTTGCAGGAGTTAAACACGAATACATGGGAAAATACACCAAAAGGCGCATTCCCCGACAAGGCGTAATGCTGAATTGCACAATGGAATAAAGAAGAAGGCCCAACCTACCCAAAGAATTTGGGTGAAGCACCCACCTAGGCTTGGTCCAGGTCCACTCAGAGGCTCACCACGCGAAGGCAGTGTGCAGTTGGGCTAGCTAGGGTGCGGTCGCACCCTGGTTGCGCCCGCATCCCCAGCATTGCCTCTCGGCCCCACCTTTGTATGGTAGTTCAATCAATGCTCCTAGAGTCGGTTGCATGCAGGATCTCCGACCATTCCACCAGTATATATACATAGGGAGAGCCCCCTCCCCCAACACACACCATTTGGAGCAACACCTCAATCTCTACCTTGTACTTTTACATTTTAGTAGTCATCTAGAACAAGGCAAAGCTACCTTGGAGGGCTTGACTCCTTGGAGAGGATCTTGGTATGAATAAGATAAATCATTTCTCCAAAGTCTTGCTCTTATCTTATTATTAGAGCCTTACTTATGAACAAAAGTATAGTCTTTATGTTAAGATCTTGACATATGAACTAGCATATAGTTTCTATGTTATGAGATTAGCATATAGGACTATATGCTTAATCATTCATATACTTTATATGATTAGAATTAGAACAACGTTGAGGTGGCGGTTCATC